GAGGAACATGGCCTTCTCCAGATCTTCCCGGGGGCGCCGTCCACTTCCATGAGTGTTGCAGGTCAACTATCTCTTCCAAGGGTGCAAGTGCTACCGAGATTAGTTAGTGTTGTTTCATGTTGTTTCTTTTTGTTTTGGAGCTTTCAGGATCTCAAACGAGGCTCGCTTCCAGTTACCAGGCGTATTTCACGTTCTGGCGCGTATTTCACGTTCGGACCGCCCTCATTGGCACCGCAAGCGGTCCGAAATGGAGGTCCATCGATTCAAGCAGCACAGTTGGTTTATTTTTTTGGGGGGTTATGATGGTCACTGGAACTTCTGGAGCTGGTCAAAGCTGTCACCCTCTGGTTGCGGGTTGCGGGTTCCTTCCCCTTCCCCGGCTCACCGAAAGTTCGGAGCCCGCGCAGAAGCTCGGTCTCCGCGGATGTCTTGTTTCGCTGCAGAACGAGACGGCGGAGTTGGCAGCGGAGCTGAACCAAACTAGCAAACTCTGGAGATTGTACCATGTGCCTTGGATCTCAGTTGCTGGAGCTCGGGGGACGATGGGCTTTATGGGGAAGCGTGGGGAAGCGGCAGATAAGACAGGTCAACGATCTGATCTCCTAGTTCCAGCAGTTGCTTTTGGATTTTAGAGCTTTCAACCAGTCTTGTTTAGCATCCAGCGGCATCCAGCGTCCAGTGTCAGGTGGCATCCCGTCCAGTGTCAGCAGTCCAAACAGTCAGACCCGGCATGAGCAGCGATTTTCACCTCAAACCATCCCAAACATTTGGGTATTCTGCTGAGTACCTCATCTTTCTTCACTCTTCCTCCCCTACCCGAAACGAACCGGTCCGAATTTCTTCGGTTCTCCGCCGCCGGGGCGAGTGGCGCAGCGGCCGCGGCCGCGCAGCTGGCGACCGTGACCGCCGCAGGTCACGAGCCCCTCGATTGGCCCGAAGATCTTGAAGGAAGGCTTCCGATCAGGACCGGGTGAGTCCACCGGGTGAGTCCAGGTTAACGGTCAGGGGGGAAGGCGAGGTTGGAGGAGGTTCTTGGGGTGGGAAGAGATAGGTGGAGGTCAGTGTGGAAAGCGAGATGAGGTCCATCTTTGCGATAAAGGAGCACAAGAATCCGCGAGACTTGTATTTCATCTTCATGATGTTCCATCGTGCTGAAAGCTTCTGAAAAAGATACGCGATGGAAGATCTGTAACACATTGTAACACAACATATCATCAAATTATGATCAAGCTCGAGCATCTTTGGAGTGGATGTCCATTTGCATCCGTTTGCTTTCTTCGAGGCCAAGTTGCTTCCGGTGTTTTCTGTCTCTTTTGCCCCGCCCTCCCTCCCGACCAATTCCCACTCCAGCGGGCGCCTTTTCCTCGCCCACTCGGGCGGGGGAGGGTCGCTCTGCGAGGTCATGCTGGTTGGTGTGGAGCGGCCATCTACTTCGGCAACACGGCGCAGGACTTGCGGACCGCCCCCCCCCCCGAACCTCGCGGGGGAAGCACGTGCCGACCCGCGACTGGAGCACCCTGGAGCGAAGCAAGGCGAAGCAGGGATTTGACCTCTTAGTAAGGGATACCCGTTGAATGGCTTCAAGATTGGGAATTGATTTGGACACTTGAATTGTACATCCCCAGGTTATTCATTCAAGAGTCGTGGATTCGCGGGCGATCCATCGTCCAATCAAGAATGTGTTTGCTTGTCTAAAGGTCCCCTTCCCAGCCTTCTTCGGGGCCGCACGGCGCCTCCGTGACAGGAGACCAAGTGGAAAGCTGTAACTTGGAAGTGAATGAAGCGACATCCTGATCTGTTCTGTTCTTTGTGGTGTATGTTCAGGCCCTGGTCTGCAGGTGTTTTTGTCCCGTTGTCTTGGGGACATCGCGATCTCACGCTCCGACCCTCGTCCCGCCCCGACCCCCGTGGATAAGACTTAACCGGGCACTCAACGTCCGAGCGCAGCTCAGGTGGGTCAAGACTCGCATCAGGGCTATTTGATTGACGCTTGGCGAGAGGGGAGAAGTCCATGTAGATGATGGGTCCATCAACCTTTCTGGGGGAGGGCTTTTACAATGGGGGGGTTTTGTTCATCAACCATCTACATTACAAAACGGCTGTTCTGGTCTGGGGCAATAACAAACAGCCCGCTTTTGAGTTTGTTTGTGTGGTTTTGTGTTGGTTGGTTTGTTGGTTTCTTTATTTGTAGTTTGTTTGTTCGTCTCAACTTCGCACGTCACCTCTCCTTTCTTTCGATCTACTCCTCCGCGTCCGTCCGTTTTCACACGTCCGTTCGGATCGAGCGTTCGTTTGGCACGAGGAAGCCATGGTCGACCCGGGGCACGTCAAGAAGATGCCCTGGAACTGCTGCGTGGCCGCGTCGGGAGCACGGATGAGCACCGGTGCACGTCGCGCAGCGATGGGGCAGAGGGTTTTCCCCGGTCAGGATGAGGCTAAGGGGGAGGGTTTTGACGTATTCAGTATGGTGGATGTTTTGATATGTTTTGATTCATGTTTCAGGATTCTGCCCATGTCAGTATGGTGGAGGTCATGCTAGATTCAGATAGGAATAGGGAGGGGAATTCTTCTGGACTGTGTGTACTGACAGATGCTTTGGCACCTGTTCATTGGCAAGATGAATGGCCATGATCAGGGAGATGTTCAACGGTGAGCGATGGGTGGCCAAAGAGCAAGGCCACCATCCCTCTACATCGGACATCGTGTTGTGTTGGTCATCGGTCATGCAGTCATGGCCGGGTTGTCTCTTGCGAAAAAGAATTCATCACCGCTCGACCTCTCTTGGTGGCAAATTCCACTGTTCTCACACGAAGCCAACGACTGAACGAGTTTTCCAGGCCACCTCGTGTTGTTGCTTGGGCACGCGGCACCGCACTCCGGTGACCAAAAAGGTTGGGCCGAGTTTGGATGCATGGTCGGGAAAAAGAATCGTTTTTTGAATCACCCCACCCAAACTGTCACCGGAAAGTCGTCAACAGCGGGGGGTTCGAAGCGCCAAAACGCACCAGTTTCGACTGAAGACCGCACCAGTTCCAGAAACCGCCATCGCTCCTTGAAGTTGCAGACTCATGACCCATCTTGACTCATCTTGACTGGCACTAGTTCGGGGTCTACCCCCGACTGCGAGGCCCCCGAGGCCCGCGGCCCGCTAAGAGAAATCCAACAGATCCAAAAGGGTCTGTCTGCAATGTTTTCCTCTTCTTCTTCTTCTTCTTCTTCTGCAGCTGAGGCTACACCAGCACTCACTGCATTGACAGCCATCCAGGACTTCAGGGCCACGTGAGCTGCCTCTCGCGGCATTACTACGGCAACGAGCTGAGGGGACAGGACCGGACGAAACCCCCCACCGCCGGTGTCGCACGGTGGATCGCACGGTGCCACTCGTTTCGTCTCAATCGGGCTTGCCCCCTCCGGAAGGCACAGGTATCAAAAAAAAAGTAACACGAGGATCAAAATAAAAATAAAAGCGAATCAAAAAACACATATTCCTTGATAGGCCTCTTCTGCTGCTCTCCTGGCCCTGTGGTCTGCGGGTCCTCTGGTAATAAGGTCCCTTGGTCCCTTGGTCCTCTGGTCCTTTGGTCCCCTGGTCCCTTGGTCCTTTGGTCCACTGGTTCTCTAGTCCTCCGGTCTCCTGGTCCTCTGGTCCTGTGGTCCGCTGGTCCCCTGGTATCCTGGTCCTTCTGTCTCCTGGTCTGCTGGTCTCTTGCTCTCCGACTCCGCTCGTCTTTCGGTCTCCTGGTCCCCTGCTTGCGCAAATCGAGGCTTGATTGCTTTCTACTAGAGTCTAGAGGCAGCTCCCTGGGAGGAAAGTAGGTACCCAGCCGTCCAGTCATTGGGTAGCCCTACTCGAAAAATGGTTCACCAGTAGAAATAGCTCCCTACTAGGAAGGAGCTCCTAGGGAGGTACACTCTCCTAGCCCCGTACTCCTTCCATCCTCTTCCCTTGGTCTCCTAATCCTGCTACTGCTACTGCTACTGCTACTACTACTACTACTACTACTACTACTACCCCAACCATCCTCAGTGGGCTAGAATATTTTTTTTTGATTCCCTTTCTATTTCTTTTTGTTGATCCCCGTTGAATATGTTTTTTGATTATGTTTTTTTAAATCTCTTACCCCCTCCGGAAGCCCCAGCCAAAAAAAGGAGTGACTTCAGTGCAGACCTTTTTCCATTTTTCCATGTTTTCGCTTGGATCGCACGGAGTCCGAGAAAAGACCACCGGCCGCCGGTTGGCAGAAACCGGACCCCGAACCCGGGTCCAGGGCTATGATTCCATCGTCTTCAACCCGGGCGATGGCAATGAGATTGTCATTTATGACAAGCACCGGGTGAAATCCATGCGTGGCTCGGCATAGCTCGGTTTCGCCCGACATCTCAGCAGGTCTCGCAGTCCCGTGGCTTAGCACTGAGCATCTGCAAAACATGAAGTCGGAAGCGGGCTGAACATGCAGGACAACGGGTCCAACGGGTCAAGGAAATCCAGTAGGTCGTTGTAGCTTGGCAGTCACGTGTTTTTCTCCACTCCAGTCGGGCCAACGAGATTCCAATCTCGTGGACCGTGTTACCGACACCGCGGCGAGGCCACATCCCCATGCCCTGAGCGCACACGGCGCACGGCGTGGACGCGGTGAGACACACTGCTCGCGGCCCAAAAGTGGCTGAAAACGTGAGAAGTGTCGACTGCCTTTTGCACCGCTGTGAGGCAAATGTGAGCATTCTGGCTTGAGCATGCTCGGAGGGTGGGAGGGTGGGTGAGTGAGTGAATGTGGCATAAGTGAGAAACCCGTAATTACTTACAAAGAGCACCGGGCCGCTGTCAGCTGCGAAAGTCAAAAGCGTGGCGAATGCTCCTGACTAGCATCTTGTAGTCACACATGAATTTGTGCCTAGGATTGGATGGATTAAGTATGGATCTTCTCTTGCTCATGCTCGTATCGAGCCCACACGGGGCTCCCTCGATCCCACACGGCGGTCCGTGTCCTCGACGCGCCCAGGTGCCCAACCTTGGCCCTCGAGCTTCGACGTGCAGACCGAAAGCCCGAGGACCTTGTTCTATTGGTGCGCTGACCCGTGCCAGGGAGGACCTGAAAACGAGAGAACCGACCTGTGTAACTCCTCTGTCAGGACCCATCTGTCCTCTCCATGCATGGCTTACTGTACCCCGTAGGTAAATGTGCCAGACATGGAGTGTCTGGGAGATAAGGTTCTAAAAGTGAGCTCGGTCGTTCGCAAGAGGACAGCTGTTCAACATGAAGTGGATGGCATCCCCTTTTCGTGATAGTCCTCTTCCAATGCGAGGCTCTTGTGCCACCACAGCTGTAGTCCACCACCCCAGGCACGAACCGTGGCACGAACCCGTGCAACGGCGCAACCCGGAAGAGACGCACGCCTTCGCCTCAGCAGATCTTCAGGTATCAGCTGTCGGACTATGCCAACTTCCCACATGTGGGTACGGCTGCCATGCGTTTTGGATGACCCGCCGCCGTGCGCCGTCCTCAAATTCTGAATGGGAGGTTTCCAATGATTCCGCCCATCGGCTGTACTAGGTGATTGTTGCTTACACTCCCCACACTCCGCCGCCTTGCAACCACACCCGTGGAACACCCAGCGACACGCCGTGGAGTACCGATTCGCCAGGTCAATGCAGGTCGATTCCCGATGTGCTCTACCAGATTTCCAGCACCGTTGGATCCCAGAAGGGGGGAGTCCACCGTGGACTCTGCTTGGGGATGGGGCGGTGCTTCAGTTCGGTGGAGATGCAGGGACTCAGTCGAAGACGGAGTGCCGGCTTGATGTGCGAAAGATGGTAGGAGAATGTTGTAGGAGATGCTCAGGTGTTTCAGCATCTCGATTTTGCACTGTTTTGCTTGGAGGGGTTGAGGTGCGCTAGTCTTGGATTTGGCTTATATATTATATTCTACTTTGCGTTGGGAAAGGCGCTTGATGAGCCAGAGGGAGTCGTACGACGAGCGACCATCAATCGTAGGACTTCCAACTACCTGACACTCCAAGTGGACGACTCCTTGTTGGAAAGCCATCCACGTTCGCTCCTTAAAGAAGCACAGAGGTAGAATATTAAAGCAAGGCGCTTCCATGATTCTTGGACCTGGCTAACCGTTCATAAGTTTTGATTGAGAAGAACATCCAGGATTGCATCCTCTTCATCAACAGCGTCTCATGTTCGCCGTTCGCCACCTTTCTTTCTCCCATGCATGGAAACTAAATAAACCCACTGTCACCTGAGATTTTGGCTCCCCAGCAAATTCCTGCATATTCCTATTGGGAAGCAAATTTCTAAATTTGTGTTTCCTGTTGTTGCCGTGTAGCATCTCCTGTCACATCTCCTGTCAAGTCTTGTCACATGTTCCAACACCCCTGAGTTTGATTGTTGGCCCCGCGGTCATCCACCCCAACTCCTCAGCTTGGCTGAGACCGCAAGTCCTAGGACTTGCCAGAAGTGGCTCAGCAGATGCGAAGCCACTACGCGCTCCTCTCCCGTAGCGTGCCTTGGTGCGAACCCCACGTTCCAAGAGCGACCGGCCGAAAGGAGCATGAACTTCGCCAAGTGGTGTTGGCCAATGACAGAGAGAAAGAGGGTTGGACTAGAACCAGGTTTCATCAGCCAGACGGCCGCTGGGTTCCAGACGACTGGGCAGATGGCCCAGCGTATCAAAGACGACTCACAGTAAAGGATCTCTAGTGTTCTGTGTTTGGTGCGTGTCGGTGGTTGTGACTGTGCGCTTGCTTTCTTCGAGCGCCCCTCAAACAAATGGCGGCCGCTCTGCAGGTGACGCACGCCTTCTCCCGTGCCACGACGCTCCTGTTGCAGTCAGCCGTTCCGCAAAAAAGGCTTCGCTGCCAGAGTTTGGTTCGGGTGGTACCTGGTGCGGGTGCTGCCGTCCGCTGCAGACGTGGGTTCGGGCATGTGGACGCAGACGGGCATGTGGCTGAACGTTCGGGTGGTGACCTGTTGATCTCTGAACCATGAGAACCTGTTTTCGAATTCTGTTGGAGATGGCGCCATGGACCCAAACGACTCGCAGAGGTTGGATCCAACGACCGTCGTGGGGCTTCGAAACAGGTCGACTGAGACCCTTGTGGCAGGTCTTTGTCCTTTTGATGGACTGGATGGAACTTCAGCCACGCCAGTGGGGTGATTTTGTTTTCTGGTTGACCTCATGGGTTACCGGGCCAACGCCGAGCTTTGTAAAAGACGTTAGGGATCAGTTTGGTTATTGGCTTTGGGGCCTCACGGCGGCGGCGAGGCGTTTTTTAGCCATGCTCAAGTAGATGGCGCATACCAAATAGATCCAAAGATCCAAATAGGAGATACGTTCTCTATAACCAGGAGAAGTAGATGTTGTGTTCTTTTGCAGAAAGCCAGGAACAAGGGTGCGTCAACTGTTTTCCTATTTGTTGCTACGACGATAGGGTTCATGTCAAATTATTGACCTGGTTGGTATGGGGCCAGCCAGTGTCAACCAGAAGCATGCCGCCAGTCATCACTGCACTTGCTTGCTGACATGGGCCCCGGCTGCCGGCTGCCAGTGTAGGGTCTCAACGGAGATGTATTCAATGGAAGATAAAAGCAGTTGCAACGGAAGAACCTCTGGCAGCACCCGTGGATCATTGCCACGAAGACCAGAAAACAGTGTCATCCAACAGCATTTGCTTGCAGCTCACGTCGCCGATATAACCCCCAACAGCTATGGCACACGACCCGAAGACAACTGAAACGTCGGCACAGAAATGCCTTGGTTTTAGGCTGACAATCTCTCAAGCCTCTTCGAGGACGGCGCTCGCGGAAAACATGAGCCACGATGTGCCGCAAACAGTGGGACTCAGTTCTTTCCTGGTTTTTCTTTTCTTTTTTTCTTCCTCGTCGGAGTCCAACCCGCGGTTTCCTTTATTTTTCTGTTTTCTTCGCCATGGACAGTGAGACCGCGGTCTTCGTGCAGCTGGTGCCGCATGGCTTCTTGGGGCCCTCTTCGTCGGGAGACCAACGGCATTGCGACTGGGCGAGCGGTGTGGGTGGCGACGCGCAAGAAGTGAGACGAACAATGGCCGCGTATTGTTTATGGGAACAAGTACTGTGGTTTCAGAGGTTCGATGGCACTGGCACCCCAAGATGTCTTTTATATGGGGGGTCCTTCTAAACCACCGACCTTGGGGATTTGTGCCATCTGAAACCGTATATAGACTCCGAATGGTCCCTAGCTAAGGCACCAGGGCACAAGGCACGGCCCTAATCACCTCACCACCTGATGTCTTAGACTCTTCACCTTTCCGCCGAAGCTTCCGTGGCCGGTGGCCAGTGGCCGACTTCGCCCCACCACGGCGGTGAGGAACGCCCCATTGGGGGGTTGAAACCGTCGAGTTTCGGCTTCCATTGAGATCCCGGAATGGTCCTCGTCAGGAAATGGGTACTACGCTTACTCTTAACCCTGTTATAAGGGCCAACCCCTAGTTGAAATCCGATCCTTTTAGAGTTATTTTGGTCCGCTCCAAATGCCCCGTGATGCAAGCCTGAATGTGCTTCGTTGCGAAGTCATGGTCATTCCAGGACGCTCCTGGCCAGACTGTTGGGAGACCCTAACAGTTGGTTTCTGGGCACTGAACTTGTCAGCTGCAAGCACTTAGTTGGAGGGTCCAGGTAGAAACTTCCGAGGCACATCCCAGGTTGCGTTCGCCATCCCAGGTTATTGGTTCAAGAGGGACTCGGCATGGCGAAAGCTGCTGGCTGCTTGGGCCAAGGAGAATGATTGGCACCTCGAATGCGCAGAGTTTCCAGTTCCATAGTTTCACAGTTTTCTTTTGCCTTCGTCCAGTTCCACGCCACCCACCCCCACACTCACTCACTCTCTCTTCTTAGTGCAGGCCCAGTCAGACCTGTGCACCGCATTTTTTTCTGCGCCGTACTGCTTTCCCCTGACAGGTTGGACGAAGACTTGCAGTTGTCCACCTTAGAAGGCGTGCGACTTCCCTTGGACTCCACGCCGTCGTCCAGCGGCCTCGCGGACGGGCGCGAGCTCCTCAGCTTGACGGTGGGTCCCGTCCAGGCGACGCGCGACCCACGGCGTGCAGTGAAAGCAGCAATGGCTGCTGGTGGTCGGAGTGGGCAATCTATCTCCGGCCAGGTGCGGGGGGAGTATGGGGTGTGTATGGGGGCTGCCTGGGAGATGACACTGGTGGAGGGGGAGTCTTTGGGTCACCAAGTTGGTGACATGGAATGGGGGTGCCTGCAATACTTCCAAAAGCATCCATTCTCCACGGAAAAGAACTGTGGCCTGCAGCGGGCAACAGGCCTCTTCGGGGCTCAGGTGAGCAGCTAGTGGCAGCTAGCAACTAGTATCTTGCTTTCCCTTTTGCTCTGCGTGGCTGAAGTGCTTTCAATCCCGGATTTCCCCCACCAACCCGGCACATCACCGGTCCCACGGCGCAGAGTGCCCGCAGGTGCGCGTGCAGATCCTCGCGCACATCGAAGGCACTGCCCCCGCCGTGCGGCTGCGTTTCGTGGTGCCGGGCACCGCGCCGGCACGGAAGCTGATGATGGCCTGGTGCTTGCGGCAGCACGTGAGCCTTACGGAGGCGCGGACGGTGTCCAGGCGGTTTTTCCAGGAAGGAAGTGCGGGGTTTCAGGGTCTGGGCGTTGGATGCTTGCAACACCTTTAGCATGCTCCAGCCCGTTCGCACGTTCTGGCCCCGCGCCATTTCCGAAACTTTCACTCCTTCAGCTGTGGTTTTTACCAGCCTTTGCGCCATTGCATGCAGGTGCGTTTCAGCTTGAAGGTCGAGGGCCACTGGCGCGAGCTGCCGCCTGACGAGACCTTGGACGCCTTGGCGTCGGCGCGGGCGGCGGCGGCGCTCTCCTCGCCGCTGGAAATCTTGGCCGAGCCAAGGAATGCTGAGGACATGGTGGATCAGGCGGGAAGGCGGAAGAGGGAGGGCAGGCGCTTCCAGACCCCTGAAGATCTAGACGACATTGTTTTTGGGGGAGATGGGGGGCTTACTCTTTCTTGTTTTTCTAGGCATGAAGACCGCTGAAGACTCCCAACTTCGTGACGAAATGAGGTGCCCCCCCTTCATTGAACAATCCTACATGTTGAGGCTTAGTGGGCTTTCCAAGTGTCAGCTATAAAGGCATCTCTTGGGCAATACTGTAACAGCTGGTTGATGCGAAACAGATGAAACCTCTCATATAAGCAACTACAACTGACGAAGGCTGGGAGGCCGTTTTCGGAGAGAGCACATCCCAGGCTCAACCATTCCGAAGAGCACCTTTGGGGTCTGGGTGTCCTGGATTTTTGTTGGGCTGTCGATGGATCTCTGACCATCCGGCCCCAAGGAGAAAGCTCCAGAGGCCGCGCGCCCGGCCACGCCGCACCCCACGACCCCCACGGCCCCCCGCGCCGCGCCGGCCGTGGCGAGCGCGAGCACGAGCGCTGGTGCAAGCCCAGCGACGGGTGCTGGTGGCGATGAGGGCATCCGAGTGAAGGTGCAAATGGTTCCACAAGGGAGGCTCGGCCAAAATTGACCTTGTGATCCCAGTGTTGATCACTGGATCATTGGAATTACTGGGATCATTCGATCTCAGCATGTGATTGGAGATCATTGGGATGTGTGGGGGGTCACTGGATTCCAAACTAGCGCGGGGGGTACACCCCTCTTAAAGGATTCAGGGAGGCTTATTTTCAAGGGCAAGGGGCTTCTTCAGAATCTTTGAGCAAGTTGAGCTCCTTTTCCGGGCTGTCCGCATCCCTCATTTCGAGGATTCTGAAGGACCGTGTGAAGCAGAGTGCGACCGAGCGGGCCCTCAGCTTCAATACCAAGATGTTTGCACCACTGGGAAAGGCCATCCGGAAGTGGTGTGAACATCAGCAGCTCTTACCGGAACCTCGGCGAACCGTTTGAGCGGTGCCACGCGTAGCGGCCTTGAAGGAGGTCGACAAGGAATAGGTACAGGACCAAAGCAACGTTACACCAAACATGTGGCATACATTGGCATACTCTCCATGGGGTTGTAGTTGCCTATGCCAGCCACACACTGCACCTGTTTTGGAGAGCTGAGCAGAAGTTGACCCGCAACTGAGCATAGGTTCAAGAAGGAGATGACACAAACCCATTGATGACTCTGGATATGGATCCATCTATTGTGAGATTTGTGCCACCTGAGCTTTGTGCTTTGAACCTGCTGTGAGCGGTCAGTCGTTGAACACACCTTGCACTTGGCAAACATGACGTGAACTCAGGACACGGTGGTGGCCTTTCACAAGGGCAAGAAGCTGTCATGGGAGAGCCTTGTTTTCAAAGGACTTTGGCGCGTTTGGCATCATTTGGTTGATGGACATGTGAAGAAGATCTTCACGACCAGGAGGAGGGCCAACAGCAACAGGGCTAAAAAATACCATTGTTTGATTAGGCATGGCATGCTGGTTGGTTTCTAGGGCATGAGGCGTGCTGGGCTGCTGGACTTGCACGATCCAGGTGAAGATGCCAAACGCAGGGGGTGACTTCACATGGTGCACACGCGACTTCACATGGTGCAGCGACGTCCCTGAACAACAGTGAAGCTATCAAGAACCGCCCTGAGGACCTGATATGTTAAACTACTGAAGCCACCTCTCTCACACCACAGAACAGCCATTCGTTCCCTCGAAAGCTCCAAGCCGTCTCCAACCATTGACCTCCATCCTTTTTGCAGTCAATGACGTGCAAACATCCTCCAGCCCTTCCCGGAATCGCGGAACCACCCGACACCTTCACCGCCCGAAAGGCCGCCCGTACCGAGGAGCAGCCCAGCGGCCGAGGGCTTCCGGCCCAGTGAGTTGATCCTCTTCGACCTGGTTCTGCTGAGCGATGCCACGCAACTGGCCGTGCAGGAGGCGAACAGCCGAACCGCCACGCGGCAACGCTGGTGGTTGGAAGTTGGGAAGTTGGGAGGGGAATGATGGGAGATGGGAAGAGGTGTTGGCTTGCAGATGTGATGGGTGGGCTTGGTGGTTGGGCGGCAAGTGGTTTAGGATGGTTTAAGGCATTTGTGATTTAATCTGGACAAGGCTCCCAAAGCTGACGGCTTGCGGATGTCGAGTTCATGCTTCTTCGATCAGGCGGATCCTTTCGTGCCCAGCTCGTGCCTTGGGCCCTGTTTTCGCGAGAACTTCCTTTTGGACTCCTCAGCGGCCCCCACCTGGTATCCACCACTCAGGGTTCCAACAGTGCATAGATCGGTCGCGGCTGTGACCCGAGATCGTGGTGCCGCCAGGCCAAACGGGTGCCGATCGCAGCTTCGGCGGAGGAGGTGAAGAGCTTTCCCATCAGCGTGCAGGTGGACAAGGGTGAAGGGGCTCAGGGAGGGCCGGGGTGGTGGGTTGAAGGGTTCAGGGGGAACATCTGGGCAGATTCAGGTACTCAGCCGCAACTGGAATACAGGTCCATTCTGCATTCTTGGGCTTTCTGTCCCATGACCACGCCCTGGCTCCATGAAGGATCGCTTCCGGGAATTTCACCAGACTGCCAGACTGCCTGTCGCGGACGGTGCCAACCCTGAACCAATAGCAACCCACAAGTCGTGGGCGGTGAAGGACCTCACTGGGGTACCTATGAGATAGGCTAGTTCGGGTCCTTCAACCTCTGTTGCTTTCTTTGGGGTGGCAGAGCACCAATGCCCGATGTGTCCAGCCCTCCTGCGACCGGCCTTCTCGTCTTCCCTGTGTCGGAACCGAACACCTCGCGTCTTCCCTCCGGTGCGCAGCGAAGCCTGGCGAAGCTGGGGCAGGTGCGGAGCGAGCTCTTGGAACAGGTGGACTTTAAGATGAAGTCGACCACGCCTTTAGTCACCTGCCATCGCCATCGCAGCCGAAAGACATGGATTTGGGAGGTTGTCGGCCAGGGAAAGACCATGTCCAAGTCTGTCGGCCATGTCCAAGTCTTTACAATCTTTTGGAGTTACCAAGTACGTTGATTTCAGCTTGTGTGGGGTGACCCTGTGATCCCCAACCTATCTACAGGAGGCAACTTCTTGCCAACTTCTGTGATCCCCAAGACCAACCTCCTTCGCCACGTCTCGCGGCTTGCCGTGCCGAGGTGAAGATGATCACGCGGTGGCGCCAGCAGCAGAACCTCCGTGCCACCGCCGTGGTACGCTTCCGTGAAGCCGATGCTCCCGATGGCCGTGCGGACATCGTGGCCACGGACACGCCAGAGGGCCGCGGCTGGGCGCCGGCAGAAAACGAGGTTGGCATGTGGGGGATGGGGGATGGGTGGTGGTGGTGGTGGTGGTGGTGGTGATGTAGTTGTGAGCGCGATGCCCCGAAAGCTCATCATGCTCATATCATGTAAATTAAAACAAGGTTTGAGCGTCTGCGGATGTTGAGGTGGAGAAGGTAGTGTTGGTCCGTTTTTGAGCGTGCTGTTGGAGTGATGTGCAGCTGTGGTTCTGGGTTGGGAGTGGTGGGGAGGTTTTAGCGCTGGTTTCCGCCATAGCCGCCATAGCCATCCAGGATCCAAGAAGGGACTCTGAAAGGCGATATTTTGTAGCTCTGAAATCGGCCTGCACAAAAAAGACAAGACTTGTTTCTGTTTTTCGTCGCTGGAGCCTGACAGGTGATCATTGTGGATGCTTACATTGAAGCTCGGTGGTTGTCTGTGCGATGTGGCCATGTGGTGCTGGGAGAGGGGCCGTTTGGGACCACTGAAATGAAGCTCATGATAGCTCCACAGAGCCGGGGTGTTTTCGGGGAGAGTTTCAAGGGTCACGGACGGCAAGTGACCTGACTAGTGACTAGACAGCCACCCGAACTGGATGGGGGCGACGAACGCTATGTGACCATTTGCAAAGAGGATGGCGTGGTCATCTACCGTTTGACGTTCACAAGCGGCGATGGGGGAGATTTAATGAGATTTATGTAGTCGTTTAACCTACTAAAGAGGTGTAATATTCATATTTATTCATATTCATTGCTATTTTTAACTGTGGAGGGCATACTTTGTCAGAGAGATGCCTCGTACTTTTGTGCACGCATTTGACCAATTTTCTCGGTCAATTGTCGGGGGTGTCAGGGCCTCACATGACGATACAAAACACACTGGAACATTCACATGGAACCATGACAAACCATGACAAGGCACAACTTTAGAACAGGTCGCTCAAGCCCAAGGCATCGCGCATTCAATGACCTAGGCAAGTGCAAACTGGACATGACAAAATTTTTTTGGTCCCTCCCACAGCCAAACCCTTAGACCAAAAATGTCCAAACTTGCTTGTACCGACTTTGGAACAAGCTGCGCCCAACGCTCCAGTTTGTGTTTCTATTTTTGCAGGTGCCATGTGAATCTTCCCCGGTGTATGTGAAACTGCTTGGGAACTTGGCTTCTTCGATGTGAAGAGGGCTTCTTCGGTGTCGCAAACCAAGGGGGGACGACGTCTTTCCCCCTTCTTGTCCAGGACGCCATGAGTCTTCGGCCGCGCGCATCGGCTCCGGACGTTTTGTTGAGCTCCGGAGCCGCGGGTGGTCTCACCGCGGGTGGTCTGCGACAGGAAGGACAGGAAGCTGCCAAGAAGAAGGCCGGAGTGGACACTGTTCCACCCAAAGCCGTTGATGAGAACGCCGCCAGCTGCTTGGTCCTGCTATGTCCTGGGTGGAAAACCAGTTCGTTCGGGGTGACTCTCGCCAAAGCTCCAGTTTTGGCCGAAAGGTTTGGGCCATGTCCAGTTTTGCGAATTCGGGAGGTCAGAGGTCCGCTGACTCGAGACGTATCCCACGGACAAACGTCTTTGCTAGAAGTCCCGTGTTCGACAGATGTTGTGGGCCCACCGAAAATACCACAAAAACACCTTTAACATCCTTTAACAATGGCCTTGGACTCTCCAATTTAGCTTTCCGTCTAATTTTGTGTCGTGTCCACCATGAATCAATGGACGGAGTGCTCAACCCTACTGTTTGCTCTGCCCCCTTTTCTGAATTGCTCATGCCCACTGCGCTTGGCCACTGCGCTGCACCTGTGGGCGGCCGGGCCCTGCCGTCCACTCCAAGGTCCCGCGGCGGCGTGCGCCGCCGACGCCGCGGCTTGCCCGGCAGGGTCGGAAGGTGCAGAGAAGGAGAGTGAAGAGAAGGTGGATGCAGCTGAGCAGCCTCCTTCAGTGAAGCAGGGAGCTTCAGAGCCTCCAGCGAAGCAGCCTTCTTTGGAGAAGCAGGACGCTTCAGAAAAGCAACGGAGGGGTTTTGGTGGTTCCAGATGTTTGACAACAAATGTATGTGAAGATCCTTCCTTCAAGAAGCACCTTAAGCCTTAAAACATCACAGAACTTTGCCCACCCCATTGTACTTCTGCCCGTTCTCTTGGCCTTCACCCCCAGTTGTCCATGTTCTTCCATCGGCCGACCGGAGAGGAGCTCCCCACCGGCCAGGCCGACCAGAGTGAGACGAAGACGGGAGAGGCCAAGACGGAGGCGAAGCATCCAGCATGGGTGTGGGGGCACCGGATTTTTCCATGTTTTTTTTCCCCTCCCTGAAGCCAACTGTTTCGGTGGAATTGGTGCCCTCACTGCGAAACAGAAGTGCGGCGAGGGCACAGGTCAAAGGCGTTCATGAGTGAGTAATGTCTTTGAGGCAAGGGCAAGGATACTCAGTTTGTTGGATGGACCCCTTTGGCATCCGCTCCGTGTATGTAAGATTTCGACGAACCGAAGAACCACCATCCCTCCTCGCGGTTTTGGGAGTTTGCTTGAAAGTGCGCGGAGGCCGAGAAATTGGAGAAGGTGAATGTGGAAGTCATTGCTTGGGATCAGGATACTTGCCGCTTGGAACGACCACATGGAGGGGTTCTTTCTTGACAGGCCCCCATCAAATTACGTGGCATCGGTCAAGACCAGGCGGAGCTTGCCCGGCTTCCCGGCTTCCCGGTCAAGGCAGGCCGGAAACCTGTCGGTCCATTTCCTCATCCGCTCACGATACGGATCGTCGCGGTCGAGCGGTGGCCCCAAAAGGTGCGACTGGCTGCGGGTCTGTCCCATGACCTGCAGCAGTCGGCAAAGAATTTAGCACCATTTTTTCACAAGGCCTTTACTCACCATGTTAGGCTGCGAACACGCTTGTGCCGACTAGTGTCTAGTCGTGTGTGGACTCAAAACCCAGGGGGCACGGAGCCAACAGACTGAAGACACCAACGAGTTGTCACGAAGACACGAGTTGCCACGGCTTGAAGCGGCGTGTTGGTGTCCGGTTGCGACCTTGGATCATGTCATAGGTGAAGGTGAGTCACTTGAGCTTGAAGCGGCCCAGACCTTCACTCACCCGTGCTTCACTCCCCATGGTGGTCGGAGCAAGCGCTCGCTAACGCCGGAACCTAGCGGTTCTCATCTCGACCAGAAGTGCACGGAGAGAAAGAAGAGCAAGCACAACAGGAGTAAAACGGCACAAGATTGGATCTCTCGATGGTGTGACCCTGTGAGACCACGGTGTGACCCTGCGTGGTCTCTCATAGATCTACATCCTGGAAGACTAACACGGACCCTGAAAACCACGTCGGTTGGTCCATTGGTAGAGGAGCCGAGCCACTCGGACCCAGGGGGGCGAGGACGTGTGTCAGGGTCTATGTGAGTGGACTCGGGATGCGACCTGTGCTCGATCAGGTCACAATGTGAACTTCAAGATGCGACCCGACTCCAACTTCGAGAAGCTCATGGCACCTCGGCGGAGCCATGCCGTTGCATGGAATCTGAGGGCATGGCGGCTTTCCGAGACCCCACCCAGGCACATTCCAAGTGCCTGGATGGTACTTGGATGATTGGATTCCTTTGTGATGAATCATTTCCCTACCCCCAGTGCTCTTGGCCTCCTCACCCAGCAGGCGTGGGCGATCCAGGCCACCCGGCGATCGCCGAACTTCCGAGGCCGCATGGTGTAAGAACTTCGACCTCGACGTGAGCGAGGCCATTTTCGAGTACCAGGGCCAGCAGATCACGCCGCAGGCGTTGTGTGTGTTTTTTCAAGTATTTTTTTTGTAGGAGGCTTGCCTGTTTTTTTCGGAACACATGCCGCATAGTAGTGCTGATCGTTTGTTTGACACATGCTGATTGAAATATTTGGAATTGGTAAACTTCGGCAACTTTAGTCCTGGTCAACAACTTCTTGCTTGAGCGCGTGGGTTCTGGTTGTTTCACTGATTTGATCACAGATCTAAGTGGTGACGACTGTGACAAACTCCAGGTTCTGACATACCTGTGGGGCACGGAGGGGCCTGTTCAGAGATGGACCTTTCCAAAGCACTCACCGCGTCTTGACGCATGTCCTAGCTGGTCCTAGCTGCATGACGCATGATCCATTCATCATCCATCCAGTGTTCTTCCACAGCTTCTTGGGCCGGAGGATTCTTTCACGAAACTGGGTTGGCAGAGCTCCATGGGCACGCCCAAGATCGAAGTGACACCTGGCCCGCAGAGGGCGGACACACTGCCAAGCCGCCCAGAGCTGGGCTGAACCAACCAGTGTTCCACTCGAAACCAAGGACCGATATAGAACGCCCGTTGAGGAGATCCGTCCAACCCGAGCAAGCGAGACCATCGCGTTACGCCACGCTGGATCTGTGGAGACCAAAACCGCTAAGCCTGCCGAGAGACCACCGCAGTCGGTTTCCACTGAATGATTTGCAAGGGTTGGGCATGAACAATGGGGAACGGTTTCCGTCCCAAAGCTGCCACCCGAAGTGTTTGGGGTGCGCGGGGTGAAGGATTGAATTGAATCGATTGAATGCTCGCCAGGTGAGTTTGGCTTGCATTGGTCGTTTGGACCTTGTTGGTGATGTTGGTTCTCTTCTGAGATGCCTTCAGAAAAATGCCTTTCCAGAAAAAAAATGTTCAAAAGCTATCGGGCCAAACTACTAGTGTCAGTCCAAGCTGTCAAAGAGTCATTGTTTTGATGTGTTTCTTGAGCCCAGGAAGCCGCGGCCGCAGCCAGTTCCACCAGCGCCGGTGGCACCGGAGACGGTGCCGGAGCCAGTGCCGGAGCCAGTCGAGACGCAGGAGAAGTGGCCAGTATACAGAAGTTATAGTGGCCCCCAAATAGATAGTGGTACGGTTTCCACTACATTTTTAGCAGGGATTTTCTTTTCTATCTATTTTGGGGGGTCTATATGTAGAAGTTTGGCTTTATCTAGGTCCTATTCGCCATGAGTAGAAAGTCATTGGGTGCTTGTCTCTCCTTGAGCCTGCAGGAGGAGGAGTCCTTACCCGAGACCCAGCCGGGCGACCTTTTCGCAGCGGCCGAAGCCGCCGAGGCTGCGCAGGCTGCGGAGATGACGACGACGGAGGAGGACGGCAAGATCGAGGTGCATGTGATGGCCCAAGGGGAGGCCGGCCGCGTTGGCTGGGGTTGGACGTGGGCCCAGGGACATTGGGAGATGTGGGGGTGATAAAAAACCCCACCCGCGGTGTGTTTTTGCATCCGCTTATCTCGGGAGTTTTTCTTTTGAAGGTGAGCAATGGGACATACCGTGCTGAAAACTCGCATGGATCCTGAAAACCACTAGTTGGTAGAGCAAAACAGTCTTTCAGGGTACCATTCTCAGTGCCTATGTCAGTTTTCGGGAGCATAATGGGACTGTTTGTGCTTTGGCCCATCCCACCGTTCCGTCCACAAGCCTTGAAGAAGAAGCTGCCTGCAAGGCTTCATGTTGCGTCAGACTGTCAGGATGGTCCAAACATTTTGGACTTCAAGATGAAGCCTGAAACGCCCTTCGAAGCGGTTTTGAAGGCTTGGTGTGACTTGGCGTCGGAGTATGGTCATGTCACAAGAATGTGACGAATGTGGATCGAGAGTAGCAACGGCGCTCTTTATCCCAAAGGTGGTTGATCTGGACCCACATCTACCATCATCTATCCTCAAGCTTGTGCCATCTACTGAACTCGGTCGTCCTCGTTGGGCGTGACGCTGAAGGACGGAGAATCGTGGGAGGCCGAAGCGATCGGGGTGAGAGACGGGGGTCGCAGATGGCACGCAGTGGATTTTGGGGGAGTGGACTCTTGAAGTAAGAAGCATTTAGATCTCCTAATTAGAACATACGACTTAGAGAATATCTGAGATATGATCAAGATGTACCATCCAGGTAGGGCTGTTCTAGAGGTCGATCGATGTGTCATTACTTTCTTTATTCAGTCCGATCTTCTTGCCCTCTCCGAGGCAAGCATCATGAGATTCCACAGGACCAGGTGCTCTTCAACTTCCAAAACGCCCCACTACAGCCGCAGCTGAGCCCCAAGAGCGTGGGATGGCAGAAGGAGTTCGGCATTCTGGAGATCGAGGCGGCCGAGTTCGTCAGGGGCGGGGTTGGCACTGGCGTCGGGCGTCAGGGTTGATATGGGGAAGCTGCTGGCGGTTCAGGTGCGTTTATGTCTCTATATATGGGAATTTCTACTATATAATATTCCGAATCCATGTTGGCGTCACGTCAGCAAAACCTGAAGAACGTGCTCATCAGCGTCCCCAACTCCTTTGCACAAGTGCGGTGTTTCTCCGCACGTCTTGAAGTCTTGGCAAGGCAGGTCACCGGAGCGTAGAGTAGGAACGCAGGAAGAACAAGTTCCAGTGACCAAAAGATACGATATAGGCAGGGTAATTGGTTTACAGTTTAGGCAACGCTTCAGGCAATCCACGTGAACTGTTGCCTGAGCAGCTTGTCATGAGCTGTTTTTTACGGGAAAGCACTTCTTTGAGCCAGCTTATGCCATTTTCACCTGCTTGTGGTTAGAAGCCATGTGTTTTTTGGTCACTCCTTGACCTCCTAGCCAGCAACAGTTTTAGTCAAGGGCGGTGGAGTTGACTTCTGTGTCTTCATGATCAGGAGCAACCAATTTGCAGGTTCCATGCTGATGTGTTCAGCTGATCTGGTCATCTCCGCCACTTCACCAGTCAGGCGCGGCCAGTCGAGGAAGAACAGCCGGAGGTGAAAGAGCAGGCGTTGGCCAACCGGGGAATCGCACTGGGAAGGGTTTTCCACGGGGCAAACCAGGCCAAGTCCAGATGTCCTCTTGGTGCGTTTGGGTTCTGGCCCACCTTATGCCCATCGATGCCCGACATCCTTCGCTTCGAGACCTCGCTGGGCGTTCCGCAACGCCTGTTTCAGCTCAGGGGGCTAGCAGAGGAACCCTTTCGGAACCGAGGAGCTGAGGAACCGAGGAGGGTTGCTCAGGTTCAGCGAAGTTCAACGGTTCAGCGATGTTAAACGGAGCAGACTCATCAGTGCTGTGCATGGCTGATGAGTCTGACGAGTCTGAAAAGGCCTCAGACTTTGTGTCCGGCCTCTTCGTCCCAAATTCGGATCACGGAACCAAAAAAGCATGTTCCAATGGACTGGCATTTTCATGCATTTTCATGGTGGACACTGCGCCTGAACAACATGAATAGATTGACATCCTTGAGCCTACAGATCAAGCGTGGCCTTGCTTCTGAAGCATTTGTAGTCCTAACTACAGGTTTCGCAATCCCCTTTGGGCCGGGCATCTTGCCATGGCACAGGCCCCATCGACGGAGACCTCCGCAGAAAAGATCGACGTGCGAGTGGTAGCAGATGCGGAGAACGGTGAAAATGTGGTCGACTTCAAGATGAAGTTTGGAACAACATTTGGCAAGATGATGGCCCCTTGGAGGCAGTGTAATGACTTCGTGCTGGGCTTTTTTTTGCCAGCATCAATCTTGAAGCAACATCTGATTCCCTAGAGGTGTGATTTCCGGTGGCCAGACAACGGAGAACCGTTGTGGATGGCAGATCCTTGATCCAATCTCTAGAGGCACCACCATCGCCCCCCTCCAGGGGGTGATCCGGGGGGATCCCAGGTGTTGTGACTCCAAGTGATCCCTTAAGAAGGGGGGTTTTGTTGGTTGTTGGTTTGTTTCTGTGCTTTTCAAGCCTGAAGACTGAAGCAATCACAAGCAATCTTCTTTCTGTGCCGCTTCGGGACGTGTATAGTCCCATTGAGGCTCGCTGGTGTGCCCATCAAGGAATACCACGTGAGCAAGCTTGTTTCAAAGTCGGCGAACGAGAGCCGCTTGACTATACTTTTGTATGTGTGCGTCATAGCTTTGGGTAGGAGATATGGGATGGCCTGACATGACACACGACATGAAAAGAGGCACTGATCTTTGGAGATGAAGGCTGCAAGGAGATACCCTAGTTAAACAATGTTAAGAATATTCCCAGCACAGTTCCCAGCACCCATTGCTCCACCTGAGCTATTTGTTGTTTGTCCAGTGGAGTGTTTTGGAAGTGTTTAGCATGGGGTAGGCCCAGTCTTTGTGATTCTCCGTATGGCGTATGGTCCTTATAATATAGCATGCAAGGACCGGAGGAGCGGTGGAGTGATTACTCTCGTGGTTGTCCTATCCGGTACTATCAGTTTTTGTTCCGGTAACCGTAGTTCTTGTGATACTTAAGGCTCCATATCAGGTCACAAGTGTTGCAGCGCACCCCTGAAGAATAGCATCCTAAGAATGTCGCCCAGACGGCCTTTGATTTGTGCATATTCAACCGGGGGCCCAGGTTTGCGAGCCCTCGGGTCCCCATTCAAGTGAACACACTGAAGGTTGGACCTCCTTGCTATTCTAGCCACTGTTTGTCTTGCAGTGTCCATTGAACTCCCGAATGAGCGGTGGATATCGATGATGCCGGTGGCGAAGTTAGCTTTGCGGACTTGAGTCCGATGATCACGAACAGCAGACGATTCAGAAACTAGCTCCGACTCAGAAACTTGCGACTCTGAAACTACAGAGTGTCCCGATTCAAAAATTCACCCGATTCAGAAACTAGCCGATTCAGAAACTGCCGATTCATCAGAAACTGGCCGATTCAGAAACTGGGGGGTAGGGGGGGTGGGGATCTAATGAAATGTGTGTGTTGATGTAGCGTGGAAATATTCGTATTTCACAGACCCGATTCAGAAACTATCCGATTCAGACCCATTCTAGTTTCCGAATCCGTGGCCACCCTAGTTTCCGAATCCGCCGTTGACCGATGATCGCTCTTTGGATTCATTCGGCCATCGACTGGCCAAAATCATGCCTTTTGGGACCATGCTGGGCTTCAACAGTATGCATGCCCTTGCGGGGGTGGAGGGCCGTGAATCAGGGGAATGAGGGTATTCTTGAAAAGACTGAACGACCCACATCCGTATGGCGGCTTCCAAGCAGATTGATCATCAAACGTGAAAGATCTCGAGTAACAACATTTACCGAGAGCATCGTTCAAGGAACACTTGTTTTCTCATTGATGGCCACCACTTTAGATGGTTTCTTTCAGATTCCATACCTTAGCTTCATCGGGGCCTTGTTTATCACCCAGTTAGGGACGCTTTTGTTCTGTCTTCCGTTGAACACATTGATCACCTGTCTCAAGACCAACAACTCCCCAAGCCGGCCACTCCGTCTCACCAGGCGTGTGGGTTAAAGTAGTCCCTAGTGGCCCCACAAATCCGTTCCACCTCTTGGTCCTTCTGGGTATATAAGTGAACCCTCGCGAGAGGCAGTCTTAAGACTGCCTCCCAGGCTAGCGGATGAGGACACTCCGCACACCGTGGGGGCGAGCGGTGATGGTCCGAGCCCCGATCCAACGGGTCGCCCCAACTCGTCCAAACCCCCCCGCCGCGACGTAGGGATCGTTGGAATTTCTGTAGTCCGGAGGTGAATGTTCCGACACCTTTTCTTCCCCTTGATTTTTGGGTGTAGTGACGGTGTGGATAGGGGAGCACTTCTGACGCGCAGCCGGACCGTTCCTCAGGGATATTACTTTAAAAAGGTGAACTGCTGTAGGAGTGGGAGTAGGAGTGGTGAGTGGAACCATTGGGTGCGACCGAACTTCATCCATTGAACGAGGGGCCTTGGTCTTCGACCAGGCGTTATTCACCGTGACGCGAGCAGATGGTACAGGGGATACCGGGGATAACCATGGCAACCATCACTTGGAATGTTGTATGAGGATTATGAGCTTCTCTTTCTACTTGAACTTCTTACAAAATTGTTTGTGCATTAGATACGGTTGTGTAGGAATGGATTTGATCCCACTTTGCACGCGACTCCGCCAAAAGGACGCATGAAAAGACCTCGACCCCCGTCACGTGGCAAAACCCGATGCCTCCGTGTGCCGTGGCCAAGTCCTGGTGGTGCGGGTCATGCCCCACAGTGAGAAGACGTCCGCCCCGCCGCTTGGACCGGAAGTGGCCCTGGATGGCCGTGATCTGGGTCGTTTTGGGTGCGGGATTTGTTCTGGGAGAGCTATGGTAGGGGGAGGTTGAGTAGATGGGTGTGTGGAATTTGCGGGGATCGTGATGGATCGTGATGAATCCACCACTTTGCCCAGGCCGCCGGCGTCTAGCGCATCTTCCAGTGCCAGCGCGGGTGGATTGGCCTCATCGCCTTCGAGGCTGGCAACCTGTGTTGTGGCGTCAGCAACGGAGATTTTTGAGTTTTTTTGAGGTTAATTAGCCGATTTTCGATGCAATGGTCTGCGGAGGTTCGACTGTCAGCTATTCTTGTGTCTCACCTTTCCAGTGCTTTCTCACTTTCTGAACTGATGGTGGAAGGCCGCTTCCCCTCAAGGTTTTGCTGTGGCAGGCCCTTTGTCCAGCGGGTCCGCCCCCCCTTGAGGTCTCGCAGGTGTGGCCCTATGTTTACTGCTGCGCCCCCTGCCTGTCTATACCCTCCTACTAGCGCTGTGTAGCTACCAGCTCTAGCAATGTTTCACCGTTTTCAGACCAGTTCTTCCTGATCCACCCTTTGATGAAGAAGTTGTTTCTTTAAGAGGCCTCCCGGTCTCCCAATAGAGGACTCCAAATAGGTCGTCGCGCCGCTTCCAATTCCTAATGCGTCTTCTGGACAGGAACTAGGAATTCGAACTGTGTTTAAGCTTTATCGTTCCCTATACTTCTTGAACGAGTGGGAGGTTGCAAGACTCTATGCGGTATCTTGTGATTCGTGTGCAGAAGACCATTTTTGGCTGGAGGAGTCACACAACAGGATCACAGGTGCTGGCCCTCACATGAAGCGCTTTGTCTTCGTGGTGATCTTTTGTGCGCTTACTGCAAGCGCTGGTGGATATGCCAGTTCCGGCCCCGATTTGCCAGCTGAAGTGGAGTCTTTGGCCGTGAGATTGGTTTCCAAGTTTCTCCCAGGTGCTGAACATGTCCATGCGATGGTGCAAAAGCTGTGGGATCTGTGGAAGGGTTGGCAGTGGCGGCTTCAGCATATTCTACGTATTCTAAAGTACGTGGACTGGCATCCAAAGCTCGAAAATTCCTGACCACTCTCAAGATTAGTGAAGCTTGGACGGCTTTTCGCAGATTGGTCCTGAACATCACGGAGGACATAGGAATCATGGACGCCCTTGACAGCATGAGAACCCGTTTCATGTTCGCGGTCAAGCGGTTGGGTGGAACGTCTCTCACTGACTTGCTGCCTGAGATGAAAGGCATGTTGAGCAGTTGTACCTTCCAGCAATTCTGAAGGACAAGGTCGCTGAGTTCGTAACATACGTGTCCAAGCCGGGCCTGATTTGGGGATTCAAAATGGTCCTGGTGAAATGGATAGCTCCTGTGATCATCCCACCAGTTCTGAATCAGATATTCCCCACAGTTGTTCGAGGTGTGGTGCATATGCTGATGTGGGCGAACCCTGCTGTCGGAGCCAGCTACAACGTGGTCAAAGGAGTCACCGGATTGCTCAAACACCAATTTGATCCACTTGAGATGCTAATTCAGAAATTGTCGATGCGGATCAGTGTTGGCACCAATTTTATATCAGAGCCGCCGATTTCTTGCGATATGCGAAAAGCTTGCTAGACTTGGCGCGGAAAGCTTGGGGCCTCACATCTTTGAACTGGCATGGCAGAGAGGAAGCCAATTGGTAGGGCAGAGCGGCTACAATTTCATGACGCAATTTTGCTCCGGGATTTTGCTGCCTCTAATGAACTGGGCAGTGGCTTCGCTGTTCAGCACAGACTTGCTGTACTCTTTCCAGACTCTGATTGCCAAGTTCATAGACACTATCTTGGGAAATGAACCTTCTTCGCGATTCGGTGGTTTTGGGCAAATGCTAACCGAAATGCTGGAGCATGTAGATCCGACCCAGCAGATTGCGGGGTAGGCGGTTCGTCACAGCTGGTCCTGCGAGAGACTGATCCCAACCCCATCTCTAGGTGATGTACGAAGTTCCGTGCAGTGCTTGTGGTGCAATCATTTTTATAACCTTGCGCCATGTGGGTTTTTTGAAACCATCAGCCCTCGCTCAACGCGAGCAAAAGTCGGGGCGTTGTGACGGATCCGGCGTTGGTGTGAACCGTAGGTCGGATCGAGTCTAGAGACTTGTTGATCACTTCTGGCACTCCATGCCATACATAACACAATTTTTTGACATTGACCAACCTTTCCCCTGACCATGCCAAGCTAGATAATTCGACACTCATGCAGGGAAATAATGCGAATCATTTGCCCAACCTCTGTTTTTCCATTCAGTAGCCTTCAAGGACCATTAAAAGAGTGGTTTACCTGGTGGTGTCGTGTAAACATCCTTAGTATATAAAACAATGGTTCTTCGGCAAAGACCATTAAGACAATTGTTGTTCGAATCATAGGGCATTTTGATTGCAAGTCCCGGTTGAGACAGGCCTGAGAACAAGGCAGACATGCCCAAGCCCAAAGAGACCAGGCGGGAAACATACATCCGCGAGAAGTGCGGCAAGTGCCACTACGAGCTCATCCAAAGATATCTTGTTGAATGGGATCTTTGCAGGTAAGCGGGGTATTTTTTTGGGGGACCTTCAGTTGATCCACCCATGGGTGCAGATACAACAAGGAAGCAAAGCACGAAGCAGTCAGGAGGAAGCCAGTGATACGCCGCATGCGCTGTATGTTTGCTGTACAGGATATGTCCCCACACTCATCTCCCGACCAGCCTGGCGCCCGGCCGGGCGGCAGTTCCAGCGAAGTGGAAGACGAGAAGCTGGAGGTGAAGGTGGTGGCCGACTGCGCGGGCGGCGCCAATGAGACGAGCTTCCTCTTGTCGGGCTGCCCTGGTTGAAGAAGGGCTGATTGAGTGGGGCACAAGTGCTTAATTCGGGAGAACAGTATCATCGCATTTGTGACCGACGCAAGGCAGGGGACCAAGTTCTTCAACGCAAAAGCGAAGACTTCAAATTCAACCATACATGTCGCTTGCTTCTTGGCTGATGTTGTCACCCCACATGAACGCTGGCTGCTGCGCAGATGTTTTGGTCTGAACCTTGCTTTCGACCACCTGCCTCAGCGCCAGGCGACGTTCCACCCCGCTTGGGAAGATGATGCAGGCAAGATGTTCAACAGTTTCGCAGTGCCACACATTTTGTCCATCGTAAAGTGGGTATCGTCAGTCACCTGATGAAAACTGCAATGGGATTTGTAGCTGCAATGATGACGTCACTTCTGGTTCCGGTGGAAGCATGGCGCAAAAAAGAGCCGCCTTTCAAGGGCTCCGCGTGTGGCGAGGCCTGGTGTGATCATCATGAGCTTCCACTGGCCGAGGCAAAGTTTCTACTGGAAGGTCCTGGTTCGCGCGTGTTGACGCCTGAGGACCGCGACTGTGTGCTGTGGAGCACGGGTGGTGGCAAGGCAGGTGGACCCAAATTGTTTTTTCCTAACTTAAGCCACTGGCCAAGACGGGCACATTCTCCCATTGCTACCCAATCGATAGTTAGTAGTGGTTGGGTGACGATGATGATGTTCCAGGTTTTGGATTTTGGATGGGTTTTGGTGGTTGCAAGAATCGGCGTTGAGTTTCCGGCACAGTATCCTGAGGCTGTTGAGGCATGCTGTTCCATTTGGCAGAGGCCACGAGATATTGTTACATTCTATACGGACTTCAAAGGAGTCTTTCTTGGGGGGGTTCAAGGTTTTCAGAGGAATTGAAGGAAGAACTTGCAACATCTCAGAGGATGGTTGGAGAGGTGGCCGGAATTTCCGGAGCCATGGTGACAGAGGTTGTGATGAGTACATGTTGGAGTGTGCAGTGGCTGGTGGCTTGTGCTGCTGCAGCATGTCTTGGTCAAGTGCCATGAGTTCACTGCAGAGGGGGGGCCTGTTTTCATGGGTGGTTAAGCTAAGTATACGGTATGCATTAATATGCATTATATAATATTATCTTGATGGAGTGATACGTTTCACCGCTTAGCGAGGAGGCACACGCTGAAAAACTGCTGGCTGAACGCCCTATTCAAACACCAGCTTCGGGATGTTAGGGAAGATGGCTTTGTGGTTAGGCTGATGTCGGACATGGTGCACGAGTGTGCGAGACGCTCCCTGGCCCCCAGGACACCTTACAAAGCCTCGGCTGCCGTGAGGTGGTGATCCGAGCGGTCCGGGCGACCAAGTTGTTTCTTTTTTCCGCGGCCATGTGTGTTAGTTACTTGTGAAAAAAATAAGATCCCGGGATGTGAATATTATTAAGAGCTGACGCTGTTTGACTTAGCCAACCAGCCAAGTCGGAGATCATTTTCATGAAGACTCTAGTGGCGTTTCCCTTCAAGACCTCAGGTTTTGAGTGCAGGGGGTCATCGATGGATTGTCAAGACACATTTTTGCCTTGTTCTGTTCGAACAATCAGACGAATTTCTCCAGCCTCCTTCCTTTTCCTTTGCCCCTCCTCATCCTGCCTCCGAAGAGGTCCCCACCGAGCCTGATGCAAAGCCGCCGGCAACAGCAGCACCTGCCACCAAGCCGGCAGCTGCCGCGCCTGCGGCCGTGCCTCCACAGGCCAGCGCAAACATCAAGCCGCCTGCGGCCGTGCCTGCTGCACCGGCCAAGCCGGCGGCAGCCAAGCCGGCAGCCAAGCCGGCGGCAGCCAAAGCTAAGCCGGAGGCCAAGCCGGCGGCAGCCAAAGCCAAGCCGGAGGCATCCAAGCCAGCGGCAGCCAAAGCCAAGCCGGAGGCCAAGCAGGAGGCAGCCAAGCCGGCTCCGAAGGATGCGAAAGCCTCTTTGAAGCAGATTATGGAAGATTTTAGTACATTTAGAGCAAGTGGGATATGTACCACAAGCGTGGCATCAATTTGGATCGTCCTTCCCAGTCAAGACTCCACATGTTTCATTGCTAGCAGCTGTTCCGAGACAATGGAGCTGACACCTAATTCATGTGAGTCTGTATCCAAATAGGGGGACCTCCCAGTTCGATCCCCAAGAAGTAGAATAGACCAAAAACATCCAAAAATATTAGAAAAAACCCATTGGTTCATTCCTGGTCCCCTTTTTCAAATGCACCACGCCCACCATAAAGACATGGATCCCGGTACAGGACAGTAGCGACTTGCTGGCCTGGATGAAGCTTTAGTTCCTGTTGATGGGACATGATCTCTGAATTGGAGAATTGGATTTTTTGTTGCTTTCCCTCAATCAAGGGGTCAATATGAACTGGGCTTGGCGGCCATGAATCTCCCTCATCGTTTGACTCTAGAAGCTGGAGGGCTCCTCCAAGGCCTCACAGGAGGAATCGACATGGCCGCAGAGAACGCGGCACCATTCATCCCTTGTTGGATGCCCAGAATCCGGTGGATCCTCAAGAAGCTGTCACTGAAGCTACTCCAAGGCTTGCCCAGTAGATCTGTGGTGCCCATTTTGCTTGGAGGATCGGAGGGTACCACCACCAATCCACCGGTGCCTGCGGGCTGCGCCACGTCCCTGAGGCTCAGATCGAAGTGCGGGTGGTGGCGGACGCGGAGAATGGCGAGAACGTGGTGAACTTTAAAATGAAGCTGGGGATGACCTTCGGAAAGATGATGGCCACTTGAAGCAGACACATTACTTGGCCACTTCAATGTGTTCCATGGTAGTTTCCGTGGTTTTTGCTGGATGTTTCTTTCCTGGCTTTAACGACAGTCAGAAATTGGGCTCATGCCACCTGGCAAAGTGTAGGAGCTGAACAAGGAGAAACACGTGGCAGTTACTCGCACAATGTCCCGAAACACCCGTGAACAACGAAGATAAAGGTGAGAAGCGAAAAGTCCTCTTTCTTTTGAAGTGTTGGTCACCTCAATTGAGAAGCTCCTTTCTGAGCCTCCCATTCTTCCTCCTGTATCGATCCATCCATGAGGCGCGCTGGTGTGCCCATCAAGGAATACCGCGTGAGCAAGCTTGTTTCAAAGTGGGCGACAGAGAGCCGCTTGACAGCTGTGATTTCAATTCTTTCCCACAACTTTCCGCCGTGAGGATGGCACTTCCCAAATGCACAGCCTGCCCCTTCTAACAGCTTTTTGCGGCCAAAATGGGGGTGCCACATGGTCTCATTGGGCTAAATGTCCTCGAAAAGACGCCTCGAACCAAACGCCACGCATCAGACATCAGGCAGAGTCAGACTCTCTCTCTCTCTCTCTCTCCTCCGTATCGATGTCTCATGACTCACGAGGCTCCAAGACGAGGACACCCCCACCGACCTGGCGCAGAGCACCGAGGACGGTCCGGAGCCCCGGAGCCTTAGGACGGGCCACCGGCGGGACGTGTGGCCGGGAGCAGCCGATTTCGGGTGAACAAGGCCATGGGCATCCGTTGAACACCCGTTGAATCCCCCCAGGCGATCTAACCTAATTAGATGAGATTCTGCCCCGATGCTAGAATGAGGATGTGGACGGTCAGAACTGCCCCTCAATGATCCCAAATACCTCCAAATACTGTAATATTTAAATAAAGTCCATTTTTATTCATTCATTCAAGGTAGGCAGGGTCGGTGATGAGGAATTATTTGATATCATTCAGTTCACTCACTCCTTTTTAGCTTGAGGCTCAAGCCAAAAAGGAGTGTCGCTCCACAAGAATCAGTGTTGCTGATTCTTAAGATTTTTGTTGGTGCGAGCCACGGCGATGGCTGCAAATGCTCGACGCGCGGTTGAGCAGGAAAAGCTGCATACATGGTGTGCTCGGATGGGCATCGAGAGCGCCAGCGACTTGGCATTTTGGTTCACCTCCTACGACCAGGCCCTTCATGAAGCAGGTCGTGCAGTAGCGGATGGGTGGGATCTTGCTCGCCGTGAGAGGGAGCCAGGGATGGCTGCCCTGGTTCGCAACCTTTTTGCGCGGGAGATAGTTTGTCAGTCCCGTCCGCCCCAGCCTTCTTCTGGTGTGGCTACCTTTTTGCCTTCCTCTTCGGTGGCCCGCTCTAGGCCGTCTTCATTTGCAGGGCCTGTCAAGCCCAAGAAGCAGTCAGCACGCCCGTCCGGCGACAAAGGGGGGATCGCCTCTTTGTTCATTCGAGAATTGTTGGGCATCATGGTGACGCTGATGCCGCCACCGTTTGCCCGCTACGACCGTGGCTCTACACGTGTATTTACCTTTTTGGGCTGGATGATTCGTACTTTTTGTGTCCCACTGGATTTGAGTGAATCTTCAAAGCCTGCCCCTGTCCGGGGCACTCGGTTGGGACAGGGGCAGTCACAGGCGGCACCTCTGGAGCCTGGCATGGTGACACATTTGTTGGGAGTTTTGGAGTTTGTTCGGGCTTATTTGTTTTTGTCATGTCGAAAGGAGCTACTGGTGCGAACGCGGGCACCATGACTTTCTGGTGTTTCAAAGGAAAGATCGGCACTCGTGACGGATTCGCCTGGTCACTCCCACGCACATTGGGCAGTCTTGACCTCTATGCCATCTGGAAGCGGTGTTTTGGCTGGGCAGCATTTTAGTTTCTACAGCTTCAGATGTGTGGTGCCCACGTTGGCTGGTATTGTGCGGCTCACAGATACCGAGCGCCTGGCTGTCGGCCGATGGACGGATGCTGCTAGTGGTACTTCTACAGCACAGACTCCATTACGATATGATGCACAGAAACAAAAACAGGGCCATCAACTTCGGCTTGCGGCATCGTTGTTTCTGGCCAGCGCACCCGAGGTTTGTGGGAAGAGATCAAAAGTACCCCCGCTGTGGAGCGGAGGGCTGAGGCCATGGTGGCCGCCGACGAATTGCTGTCAGGGAGGGAACCCCCGGGTGGTTCGACTATCGTCGGAAGACATCCCGGGCATGCCTATGGTCAAATCTTTGTTGCCCGCCTCCCTGACCGTTATTCGTACAGCTGGGAAGAAGATCATTCGGGCTTTGCGTAAGCGGGCGGCCTCTACCTTGGTGCCGGGACCTTCATCCTTTCCATCGATGCCAAAGCCTACGGTGTCGCCACGACTGGCGCCTAAGCAGGCCGAGCCTCCCCTGCAGAGGAGACGCCTCCCACAGAAGACGGCGGCGCCGGCTGCGCCAGAGCAGGTGTCTCCTGCTCCTCTATTACTGCCTGTACCGGCCAGTCCGGCCGCGGTGGCTCCGCCTGCTCCTGCCAGGGGCCCGGGGACTCCGGTTGTGGCCGTCAAGAAAAAGCCGCAGCCGCCTGCTGCAAAGGCTCGACCTCCGCCGCCGGCGGGGCCGCTCAACGAGGTCTCCGACGCGATGTTCGATATCGCTGCTCGTGAACGTTGGGCACAACCTGGCTGCTGGGTTCAACGTTTTGGTCCGCTGTCAGGCCGGCGTGCACAGAGCGCCAATCCTCATGGCCATCCTCCTTGCCTGGCTCAGGCGAACCAACTTCGACCACGAGTACGACAGATTGGAAGGCATGAAGGCTGTAGATCGCCAAGGTGTTCTGAGACGGCGTGGCGGCGAAGCGCTGTTTAGTTGGGCACGTTTGAGCTGCGCAGGAAACCTGCCCCAGCTACCAAGGTATACCCTGTCGTTTTTTATCTGTTCAGCAAAGGCAGGGGCCTTACGGCATGTAGAGCGCGAAGGCGCCCCGTGGTGCCGTTGGCAGTTGGAGACAGGCGTCTCCGGGGTTTCGTGGCGATACCCACCGTGCTACATCGGTGCACGAGGCGTTGGGGTACGATCGCCAGATTTGCAAGTCCTGCCAGGCTGTGCTTCCCGGTCCGGACCGACGTGCACTGGCCTAGGCTGTACTAATAGTGAATTTGTGTCAAAAGGCGCACTGTCTTGTCCTGGGGACATGTGAGACCGGATGAGCGCCGATTTTGTGTTTACAGTTGTTCCCAGTTGCAGCTTAGTTCATATCAAGTTCGATCGTTCCTCATGGACCGACCCCAGGCTATCCAGTGGGCGGCTGTTGCCATGGCGCCCTTGGACGGAAGCGCGGCGGGGCAAGGCAGTTGAGTTACGGGATTTGGGACAGCAGGCTCGTCTAGCCCTGGAGTCCCTGTCCCTTACTGTTTCCCCCTGGCTGGGGGTGGTCATGGTCCAGATTGGTGCTATGCAGGGTCTCCGCAGTAGCTGGATTGAGTGGCGGGATGAGATTCAAGACATCCCTGTGGAATTCGCCCAGCCTGAGCCGGAACTTCACTCATTGTTGGGGGCACGGCCGGTCAGGCCCGGGTCTGTTCCCCGCTTGCATACCTATAGTACGGGCCCTTTGCAGTGAGATATGGGAGTTGAATACCACATTGGCCCCGGATGAGCGACATCGCCTGCGTATGGTTTTGACGATGGTCCACGATGAGGTGACACCGTTTGCTGACGCCCTGAACTGGGATGCTTTGCGCTGCCTGGGCTTGGAGCTCAATGAGTTGGCACCGCAGTTAGAGTAATGTGCTCATGTGGGGTTTTTGATAAAAGAGGCTCGAGTTCGATGGTGTGTTGCATTTTGTAGTCTTTTGGTGTGTTGCAGCTGTCTTCAAGTTTCAAGTATTCAATTCGATCTCGTCGGTCACTCATTTGAAATGTCGATCGTATTTTCTAAGCAGTTGCCTACAATTTGATGATATATTCACGGCCCTGGCGTATAGTTCAAAGTCGATACTTGCATCCAAGACGAGATCCTCGAGTTGGGCATTCGCACATTGGCTGAGTTTCGCCATTACCCTCGGACTGAGGAGGAAGTCAAGTTTTTTTGTGGATAGCTTGTTATTTTGAGTGGAGGACAATCTCGCTCGCTTGCAGGTTGTTTGTCTTCGCTTTGAGAGGCTATGTTGGATGTCGAGCATGCGGCCGCTAGTTTGCCGCCCGCCCCTACCGAGGACGAGACCTTGTTGTCTACATTGGAACTCGGAAGGAGGTTTTCTACAAGTGTTACCACCTCCGCCCGGAATCTCGCCAGTTCCCCTCGGACCGCTTGTTGAGCAAGCTGAGCCGCTAGTTGTACCGGGGGCATTTGGAAGTCATGGATTTGTGGAGCGTCAGATCCCGGACGTTTCAGCGGACGCATGGTCAGAAGCGTCGCAAGGTGGGGGATGGTTTGTATTTTCAGGAGGATGACACTGAAGAGGACATGTCCAAAATTCGGTTGGCCTACCTCATGAAGCTCGAGACCTACCTGTTGGCTCTGGCTATTGTGGGCTGCCGGCCCTTGGATCCGCCTACGGTGACCCCTGAAACCCTGGTTTCGAATAGCTTGGACTATGTGCAAGTGCCCTATGATACTTTGTTTTGGTACTACGCCCGGTGCCAGGACCTGGTCTACCGCACGGCTGACTCGAAGCGCCTCAACGTGTTGCAGCACTTGGACGTCGAGGAGCGGGGGCAGTGGTCTGCCCGGACTGCGGTCGGCACGTCACTGGGATCGGTGATCCATGCAGTGCACCGCGAGCGTGACGCGCTCTGGATTGCGGGGGCCCGGCCGGGGCCGGTGGTGGGTGGTGGGGGGGGCACCCCCACCCCATCCTCTGCGGCTGGGTCGCAGCAGGTGGACTTCGCCGGGCGGGCAGGTTCTGTGGTCCACAGCCTTCGAGATGGCACAGCTCTATGCAGTGATTTTCAACGTGGCCGTTGCAAGAACAAGCGCAATGAGTGACCCAAGGGTGTTCATCGTTGTGGAGTCCTTCTGAAGTCCGGCCGCGTTTGTGGATCATGGCAGCATGCGCCTGCCAAGTGCCCGAGCAAGGCTTGAAATGAGGGCCGCTCTTCCACTGAGAGGGAGCGAGGCCAGATCCATGACATGTCTGTGTATGCTGACTACCAACAGTTCATGGAAGAGCTCTCCCTTGTTGATCCAGTGAGTGATACAGCGCGAAAGCCAGTCTTTCTTGATGTGTTCAGCGGGTTGAATGCACCGCCTGCTAAGGCCTTCCTTTGGTGCCAATGGGAAGTGGTTACGCCTATTGACATTGAGATCGACCACGATTTGGATGACCAGTATGTCAGATGGATCCATGACCAAGGAGCACTTGGTTGATGCCCTGCCCTCACTGCATGGATGTATGCTGCTCTGCGACTGTCCTCACAACCAGTTGTGTCATGGAGATATTATTTGTGCACTCATCTGGACTACAACGACCTCACGATCTACACTTCCGCGGCGGCGCCGCCAGCAGGGTGTGCGCAAAGTGGCCTTGCTGGCAGCAGGCCTTCGTCCAGTCCGGGCTGTTCCCATCAGATTTTCACAGGAGACGGTGATAGGTGCTCTGATGGCCTTGTGTCCTCATACACATTGGTCTGGTTTCCAGTGGCCCATGATTGAAGACCTGTTGATCGACGACTTTGATTTGGGTGGTTGGCTACCATGCAGACCCGGGAGGATTGGCATGGCCAAGCGGTTGGCCCGTCCTTGGTGGGACCCATTGAGCGTGCAGCCATCTCTCTACACGGCTTTCAACAGGCGGGTGCCGCGGCTGCGGCAAAAGCCATGCCGCCACTGATTCCATTCGGGGTTGGCGATGAGCGTCATTTTGAGCTCGCACTGGGCCTCAAGACCCAGCCTACGCTTTTCGAATCAACGGGTGTTGTTGATGACGACCTCCTCTTTGCCGCGGACCGATATTGGCAGTTAGGTGTCTCCCTACGAATTGTTTGGCAGCGCATGACACGTTGGATTCACGAGCTGGCCCGGCGCACGTGGCCCATCACCGAGTGGATGCGTCAATTCCAACCACCAGGCCCAACCAGCAAAATACCTCACCTCGTCAGATCTTGTACAAGGGGCTTGGTCGGACGCCGAGCGCCTTATTCGCAATTTGAAGTCATGTCAGCAAGACGAAGCTATTGTTCAGGCTGGGTTGGACGACGAAGCTCTAGGGTTTTGCGGGCCAGCCATGTCCCCTCCTTCGACGGTTCTGCATTCAGCAACCCAGCGGAAAGCTGAGGGTCATTGATGACGCCGCGGACGGCGGGCAAAGTGAGCTGAGCCACGACTCGAACAAGTTGGATTTGTGCACCAGCATCCAACCGGGCCTTCATGTGCAGCTCTTGTGGCGGGCAGTCAGCCCTTTGCAGAATGCAGCCACCTTACTTGCAGAGGGCATCTGCTCAGGCGGTGAAGATCTCCCCAATGCGTACCGGCACGTGCCTATGGTCCCGGAGCATTCAGACCCCGCCATCGTCGCCTACTACGACCACCAAGTAGGGGAGCCTCGCTTTCGTCGCTACTATGGGTCACTTTTTGGGCTGCCCAATGCTGTGTGCTCGTTCAACCGGTTCCCTCGCTTCTTTCAGGCCGTATGTCGTCGCATGGGTTGTTGTCTGGCTAGCATGTATTTTGATGATTTGACAGTTCAGGACCTGGGAAGCATCAAAGGTTCAGCCCAACAGTTCATGACTTCTCTGGCCACAGAACTTGGATCGCCGTTCCAACCGGAGAAACATCAAACTATGCAGAGCCAGTCTGGCTTTCTGGGGCTGGTACATGATGTTGGGCAATGCCACCATGGGCATCCCGTTTGTTTTTGGCCACGCGACCGGTTGATCACTAAGGTCACGGATCTCATGGACGAAGCAACTCAAACAAAGCGTCTCTCGCCAGGCCTTGCTGCCAAGCTGTTTGGTTGCCTGGGCTTTCTCAACATTGGTTGTTTTGGTAAGCGTGGGAGATCAGGGTTGAGTCCCCTGAAGGAACGCCAGTACTCCCATGACATGATTTCGACTGAGGACCTACCACGTTCGTTTGTGACCATCACGTCCCTCCTCGCATTGCGACCTGAGCGAGAGTTACCACTTCAACCCGGTAGCCAGCAACGCTACCTGGCGGAATCCGATGCGGCCCAAGATGAACCTCGGCAAGGTTCGGCGGGCCTGTTGTTTGTTGGACCCAATGATGAACGAGATGCCTATGTCGTTGACATCACGGCGGAGCTCTTCACCCTTTAGTCTGACCACCCCACCAAGATTGCCCAGTTGGAGTTGCTTACAGTTTATGTGGGATTTATCTTTGTGGCTAGTCAGGCCCGCGCCTGTCAGGGGCTTTGGTTTGTGGACAACATTGCAGCGTTGATGGCCTTGGTCAAGGGCAGGAGCGACAACCCTGAGTTGGACACTATGGCAGGATGTATCCATGCTCTGTTGTATTCACTGCGTAGTGGTTGCTACTTTGAATGGGTCCAATCCGCTGACAATTGGTCCGACGGTATTAGCAGGCAAGGAATTCACGACGAATGGTATCAGGCTCATGGATTTCGTGTACATCGTGTTCCAGTACCTCTCCTCCTCCTCCGCCTACCTGACACCCTTATAAGTCGTGTCTTCCAGTTCTTCTGAGTGCTTTGGGTATGTTAGAATGCATTGGAACGAATACCTGGCAGAGGTATGCGCCAGGGGTGCACGCAGCGTGGGCTGCTGTGACAGGGTCACATTAACCAAAGCACTTTTGAACAAAGACTCTCAAGCTTGTGCGAAAAAGAACTCAGTCCGAATCTGATTCGTCTTATCTCAAGTCAAGTGTAACTGATACAGCCGAATATATTCATTCATTCAAGGTAGGCAGGGTCGGTGATGAGGAATTATTTGATGTCATTCAGTTCACTCACTCCTTTTTAGCTTGAGGCTCAAGTCAAAAAGGAGTGTCGCTCCACAAGAATCAGTGTTGCTGATTCTTAAGATTTTTGTCCCACCCACCACACCCTGTGCTCGGTACAAGTGGTTACAGGTACATGTGGCAGCTGTCGGCCTGAGTCTCCACATTTGCGGTGCATCTGTGTGGTACCTTTTGGCCTGTGTGGTGTCGCCCACGGCGAGGCCTTGATTGTGGCAGCAGCCTGCAGGTGTCCACGGGTTACTGCGTTTTGGTGATGTCGTGTCCTTTTTGATCTAGTTTGGCATGCCTCCAGTACAGCCTATTTGAACCGGTCATCTGCTGTCTCATGGCCTCGAGTGGTAACTGTCAGCCGAGTACCATGGATGAGGCCCGTTAAGTTTTTAAGTACGACGCGATGGACCATCGCCCTGGCGCAGTCTGTGGAAAGCCAGATGACTCAGCTTGGCTAAATGCTCTGGCAATGAGCCAATGGACTGGTGCTGTCTGCTGGATACCATGGTGTCCATTCTTCAACTTTTAGTTACCAATTTGATTTTCATATTGGCTGCTGTCTGCAAGAGGCCATAGCACTTGCAGCTGTCGGCATGGCTAAATACTCCAGTCATGAGTCCAGATCCCACTCTCGTCAGCGACATTGCGGGGCAATTGTAGGTCACTGCGTTGGCAGCGCAAGAGTT